ATACGCCACAAATAAGTGATAACCAATTGGAAGAAGTGATTAACCATTTGGAACAGCAATGCGCCAGAAATATAAAGACACGTCAAGTGGGCATTGAATACGACGATCACATCATTTGCGACGTCTGCCGGAGTCCTGACGCCGAAGAGGGCAACGAAATGGTGTTTTGCGATCTCTGCAACATTTGTGTACATCAGGCCTGTTATGGCATCGTTGACATACCCGAAGGCGATTGGCTCTGCAGGCCCTGCAAGGAGTTCGGTTCGCACACACATTCAATTCAATCATTTATCCTCTTTTAAACTAAATATTGACTAATTTGTGTCCAAAAGGTTCCCAAAAGAATATATCATGTGTTTTGTGTCCAAATTTTGGCGGTGCCTTAAAGCCAACCAGTAGTTCAAAGCAATGGGCGCATGTGTCCTGCGCTCTATGGGTGCCCGAAGTGAGCATCGGTTGTGTCAGTACAATGGAACCGATCACTAAAATTAAACAAATACCTCAAACTCGTTGGAATCTCATCTGTTCCCTCTGTAACGTCAAACAGGGGGCACCCATACAGTGCTCGGTATGTGCTTTGATGACCACATTAATTAGCCTTTTCTCCAATTGTCTAACTGTTAAATATTTTTGAAAATTAGGTGAAGACATGCAAAATCGCTTATCATGTGATTTGTGCGTTCAATCATAAGCTAAAAATGAAAGCTATAGTAGAAAGTGATAAAACAAAAGGAGTAAAACTGAAGTCCTATTGTAAGAAACACACAGAAAAGGGTGACGTCGACGACGACGGGAACGTCTTAAAAGCCGAGTATGTGTTGAAACAATTGAATTTATTTTATAATTAACTTCAAAACTAATTATTTTATTATTGCCAACCCTTAGAGCGAAGGGCGAGTCGACTGACAATCAGTCTTTTTTGCCCAAAACACAACATGAGATCGAAATCGCGACTAATATTCCAGAAGACGAAGACAAACATGAAAGTGATTTTTGGAAATACATTGATATAAATAAAGTACAACAAGAGGTTCGCGTCATTAGTTTTAGTCGACTATTATAATAGCATTAATGAATTGATTTGATTTGGCAGTTGATTCGTACGGACGCGAGCTATAGTGTGAGCAAAAGTATGAATTTTCTGGACTTTATAGTGCAGTACTGGAAACTGAAGCGAACCTCCAATTACGGGGCGTCTCTCATACCGTTGACATCTTCGGCACAATTCCAGGAACAACAACAACAACAGCGAAACGAAATCCTCAGAATGCGAGTCGATTTGGAAAGAATCCGCAATTTATCGTATATGATATGTCGGCGCGAAAAAGTCAAACGCAATT